AATAATTATTTGGGAACCTTTTAAATATGCTCAGATATAAAAACGAGGTTTAAAACATTGAAAACCACCGAGTTGGTTCGGGCGCCAAAAATCGAACGCCGAACACCGTACGCCGACTTAGGTGATTTTGGTTCTGAGCAAGGACCAGGGATTTTAACAATAAAAAATTTATCAAAAATGTTTATTTTGATGCACAAAAATATTTTATGATTTTGTAAAATTATTTTGACTCTTTGAGAACCGAGACTTGAATTGATTGTCGGTTTTAATCAAAAGACCGACTCGACTAAGTCTTCAATTCTTGATCTTGTCCTTGAGTCTTTCGGGTCTTGTTCCATGCCATTCTTCGCGCCTTGAGTTATTCAACGAAACTCTTTATATCCACGGCGGTTTGGCAATTATTAAAACCTGTCAGAAATGAACACGACTTTAGTTAAACGTGCAAAGTGTGTTCCAACAATCATTAGCGTGTTAAAGTCGGAGTGGTTATTATTTAGGTGAACTGCGAGATCGTCCCTAAATACTTTTTTGCAACCCCTCACATTCTATATAAAAATAAATTGACAATCCAACTTTTACAAAAATATTGGACAATTAATTTACCAATTTCTACCCCTAACTTTTTATCATAAAAAACTTTGTATTGTTTGGAACTCTCTCCTTTTACACTTTTAATTTTATCTCTAAAACCAAAAAAACCAAAAATATTTTACAACTTCTTTTGCAAACATTTGTTTAAATTAAATTAACTCGCGTCTCCCTGAGGTTCGACACCCTACTTATAAGGGATTCTTTTTAGTTGTTATTTTTGCCCGTTCTATAGTGCAAATCATTAGTATTGATTAATAATACACTCTTCTAGAAATAACCTCTCTACTTTCAAGTATGGCAAAGGTCTGCATACACACAACAACCCAGACCGTACTTCCATGGATTATACTAGGTTGTTGTTGCTCTTATTGTAATAATACACTCTCTTTACTATATATAGAAGAACTAATCATTTTTTTCATTGAGATTAAATAAACTATAGTGATACGGAAAAGATATTAAATATTACAAAGTAAGTGGTTAAGTTTATCAATGGTATTCTTATTTTACTTCTTCAATGTATATAGAATTGTCATATTTTCAAATTTTTAAAATTATTGTAATAATTTTATGTTTAATTTGAATAAAGTTTAAATAAGGGAATGAAAGAATATTTTACTAGAGATGCCACTCCTTTTCATATACGGAGTAAAAAAAGAGGGCTCTCCTTCGTCAGGAGAGGCCTCTCTCACACTCCTCCCCTACCAATTTCTCTCTCTTTCTCTCTCTCTAGACTATAGAGTATGTTCTTTAGTACTGGAAAAAAATGAATGTTGAAAAAACTAGAAAAAGTTGAAGAAATTAGAAGGAACTTGAAGAAACCAGAAAAAACTTCAAATTATTAGAAAACCTAAAAAAATTTAAAAAAATTTATTTTAGTGTATTTTTATATTATTATGCGGTACCATTCTAATTATTGTTTTTATAAATTATTATCATTATTATTATTATTATTATTATTATTATTATTATTATTATTATTATTATTATTATTATTATTATTATTATTATTATTATTA